TTGGATTGGTTTTCTTTCTTAATAATTTGTTGTCCTAGTAATCTATTTATACTGACATTTCTTTTTCTGAAAGCTATAAATACTCATGAGATTTTCTCTCTGAGCCAGAAGAGGATAATTTCAACTTCCCTATTAGTCCACATGCATGCAGATAAAAAGAAAACATGTTCCTGGCTGTTAGGTTTTTCATTTAAACACAGAGTTTGAGAACCTGGCTTTATTTCAATTGATACAAGCGATTGCATTTTGGCTAGACTTTCCTTTGTCCTGACACCAGGCCTTTCTCCTATCGAGTGTGGCACGCTGGGTGGCGTGCTGCTGCCCCGGCTGACTGCTGCCCGGGGAGCCCTGGAGCATCTGGGAAACGCCTTCAGAGAATGCCTTCAGTATTTGATGGGCGGTACCATATGCTATTGACATTCACAAATATATGTGTTTATGTGTGTGTAAATTGCTAAAAATCCCCAAAAGACCCCAGTGGATTCTGTCTTCTTGAGGAGTAACAAAATCATTTGTTGGTGGTGGTAGAATAAAAGGGAGCTAGGAATTGCTCTTTTGTTTGGGAAAACATGTTATTGTGGCTTTTGGTTGTGAAATAGCATGCCCCAGAAGGTCTGTTTGGGGAGAAGGTTTGCAAAATTCCTTTGTGAAATGAAGTAGAAGTGCTTAGCTTTCTCCTTGACCTCCTAAGACACATGGCCGGGGGCCTTTGGACTCATCAGAGGGCAAAAGTGGAGGAAGCAGAAAGCCTGCCATCCTCTTCATTTTACCCCTGCCATGGGGGGATGTCCAAGGAACTTAGGAGCACTAATTCTGTCCTCCAGAGTAAGTTACTTGGTGTTCTGGAGTACGTTTTTATCAACCCTTCTGAGAATCTTGTTACAGTCACCAACATTTTGTTAGTGGACAGATGAAGCTTGGAGAAAGCATCTTGGAGGGCAGAGTCGGCACCAGTCTTGTGCACCAGTGTCCCCAGCACCCAGCACAGGGCAGGTGCCATAGCACTCACTCATGTTTCATTCACTCATCCATTTAATACATTTACTGCGTACCCATTATGGGCCAGACTTGCTCTAAGTGCTGGAGTTAAGGCAATGAACAAAACAGAGAAAAATCCCTGCCATCAAGGATCTTATATTCCAGTGGAGAGCCAGTCAGGAAATGAATAAACAAGTAAAATATATAGCATACCGTATAGTGATAAATGCCATGGAGAAAAACTAAGCAGATACAAGAGATGGTATTTGCTGGAAGAATGAATAAAGTGCTCTGCCAAAAAAATTAAAGCTGCATAATTCTATCATTTCGATTAGTATTTTGGGGAACTGTGTTGAATTGAAGAGTAGGAAAGAAGCCTTGATTCTGAGTTTGTTCATCTTGTCAGTCTGGAAAATTTATCAGCCAGCACGTATTGACTGTGACATTGCGGGGGGCGAAGACCTGCCTAAAGCCGAGAAGGCTCGTTTAGAAATTAATTTCTATTCTTTGCACAATGGCTCCTGCACCTTAATCCACCAGTGTTTTCTGGTGCCCATTTGCTCATTTTTGAATGCAGAGAACTGTGGATGTCACATCTTGAGCCTTTTTGCTGCGTTGGTATAAGTGATAAGTCAGTGACAACGACAGAGACAAATTTGCACGCTTTGCCTCACAGAATACATATGTATGGGTGGTAAAGTTAGCAGTTCTCTGGACCTGATGGAACCCATGGAACTTCTACAGCTCTCAGTACACCAGCCCCAGACCCCTTATAGTTGCCATTCCAGGAAGGCCCCTGAGAAGGGGAGGAAAAGGCAGTGAATCCATGAATACCCCCAGAGACTGTAAGGGAGTCCAACAAGGTACTACCTTTGACAAGCATTCAGAAGGAAGGGATATGCGGGCTCATTTCTCATACTGTAGCCTGAGAGAAGAGCTGCTGACCTAGGGGGTGGTGCTCAGGAATGTACGTGGCTGCGGGCTGGGTAGCAGCTGTCTTCCTTCAACCAGGGGAGCGAGGCATCTCAGGAGAACAACCTGGAAGTGAAATTGCAATTGATGTTTTAAAGCAGGGGAGAGAGAGGAGGGAGTGGAAAGAGTTGGATACCTCCACTTCCATCCCCTCTGCTGGAAACTGGCTAATGAGTCAGAAACAACCTACACATCAGCAAAGGTGACTGGACTTCACACACTTGTTCCCAGCCATGCTTTACTTGAGATGCTACTATAGGTAAGGGATTTATTTAGTATAACCCATAGCTCCTAGCCCAGTGCCAGGGCAATTAGCCTTCAAGTCAGACCCAGATCCTGGCTCTGCTTCTGTAAGCAAGCTATCCAGTCCCTCTGAGGCTCAGTATCCTGATAATAATGACCTTACTGGGTCGTCATAGGGATAAGTGAGTTCATACCTGCAAAGTGGCATCTTGTTGGTGATCAGTAATTTAGTTCACTTTGTCCTCAGTTATTCTACAATATAGTTTGCTCTTTCTTATAATAGGTAACATTTCTTGAATAGCTACTATGTGCAAGGCAATTCATTTACGTCCTAGCATTAGATTTTTGCAACACAGTGAAGTTGGAATTCATTATTCCCATTTCATAGATGGAGAGATAGATGATTTCAGAAGACTGTATGAAGCTTATGTCAGGGTCATGAAATCTCAGAGTTAGAAAACATTCGAGAGGTTATTTGGGACCACTGCTCCATTGTCCCAGTTTTTTGACAGAGTGTCATGGAGCATCAGTTTGAACAGGTCTGGTGGTGAAGGCGTAGCCCCTGCTGTCCTTGTTTCTGACACATCCTGGAGATGGCCTCTGCTATGGGCCCCTATGCCCCCAAATTACATGCTGTGTCCTCTAGCACAGAGCCCAGAGTCTGAAGCCTGTTGCTCTCCCTTACTTGCTATAGTGTTTTGGGCAAGTGTTTTAGATTTTCTGTGCCTGAGGGTCCTCATTTGTAAAATGGGGATAATAATAAAATATGAATCCTGTGGTGGTTGTGAAGATTAAATCATATGATACATGTAAAGTGCTTAGAATGGTGACTAGAACACACTTAGCACTCAACAGATGTTAGTTATTATTACAGCTAACATACAGTTTTATGGATTTGTCGAGATATATTTTTTTTACCTCCTTCTCAGAGACATTCTTCCCAGTCTCTCTCAGAGAACTCATTGGGTGTCTTACTAGGAATCCATCTGAAGGCTTTATAAAACCATGTTTTCAAAATTTTAACATCTGCATAGGCAACTTTCCAGTTGCCATTCTTTTTCCAAAGTTGTGATTTCAGAATGGGAGAATTGTACCCTTTCAGTGTTAGAGATACACTCCACCTTCCTGCCTATCATTCGCTCAAATAAGAATAACTGGATTTGAGCAGCAGGCAGCAGGCTTGATGAGTCGTGATGGGCCCTGTGTGGTAACCCGGACACATCCTAGGGAGGCTGGGTTCTAATGCCTTCCCAGCACTTGGGGTTCAGGGTGCCCTGTCTGGATGGGGACTTGGGAACCTGATTTTGTCCAAGGGCAGAGCCAACCATCCAGAGCCTTGCAGAGAGTTCAACCCAAGAAACTGTCCAAAGGCAGAAAGGTAGAAGCCAGGTTATGGGCCCATGTTGGAATTGGGTAGCAGGACGGAGCAAGTAAGTTTAGGGTGAAGAGTAGAGGAGAGCGATTCTCTGAAGGACTGGAATGTAGCTGTCTGGGGAGATGAATGGTAAGAGCTCATGGGGGCAGTCACCACTAAAACTCATGGAATGGTTATGCACTGTAACATTTATAGCTATATACAGTGTGTATATGTATGAGCAACCAGGCAGAGCCACGAGAGGAGGGAGGACTGGGGGAGGCCCTTGATGAGGCAATGAAAGCCTTGACTGGAACCGAGTGTGTGTGGGGCAGACAGACCCTCGTCAGCCTCTTTGTGCTTCTGAGGAAGGCAGGATATTTGATTAGAGGGGTTAGTCGGAGAAAGTTTTCCCTAGATATTGCCTGAAATAGTCCAATGAGGCTTTAAAAAATTTTATTTTAGATTTTAACAAATATTTTTACATCTTTATTGAGGCACACTTGAGGTGAAATAAACTGCGCATATTTACAGTGCCTAATTTGATGACTTTTGGTATACCTGTACATCCATGAAGCCATCGCCACAATCAAGGTACTGGACATATCCATCACCACAAGTTACGATGAGGCTATTTAATAAGGTGAATGGTAGATTTTTCTAGATGAGGCCAGAAGGAGGGCTGATTTCTGCCACAGTTTCAGCCTTGGAATAGAGAGCCCTGTCAATCATCTAAATTTGGAAAAGCACATTTTTCAAGATAAAAGTGCAGTATTAAATTGAGCTGTCCAAAAAAGGATAAAAAAATGCCAGGAGAAGCAATTTTTCAATGTTTTGTTTTTAGCACATATGGAAAAAGTGAAGAGGCAGAGAAGAAAGGGAGGACAAAATACCAAATTCAGTCAGTGGTCATCAAAACTGTATAGAATGCGAGGGGTAGAGTCTCGCCCTCCATGTTGGGCAGGATGGCAGGCGGCACACTAGCTGACGCCGAGGGGAGGGAAAGGAGCCTCCCCACCTCCCCCCGGTCCTTCTCCTCTAGAACATCTAGATTCATGGTATATGTGGTTGGGGAGAAGCTGGACGTCACCCCTACTTGCTCTTTGGAAAGTGCCTCTTTAATCTATGCCATACCCTAAGCACTCTGGGTCTGTGGCCAAATCTTTTGTGAAGCTCCAAGAAAATTGTGACAGTTGATGCTCTAATTCATTCCTTTGGCTCCCTCTCTCCCTTCTGCCCCACACTGGGCAACACCCCACTCGGGGGTGGCCTGTCTGAGCACCGTGGGAGTGCATGGGTGAGCCAAGAGTGACTGGACCTGCAGGAAAGGTAGGAACACCAGCTTTCTTTGGCTTCCATTTCTTAAATTATTTATTCAAGAGAAAGTCATGATCTTTCTGGAACTGCTATTCTACATGGATCTCAATGGTTTTTGAGCTGCTCAGAAGTAGACCTGCAGCAGGGTGGTAAGTCACAGGCACAGTAGTAAAATCCTTCATCACTCTCTGATGCCTTAAGAATCTTCAGTATAGCCTGGTTTCTGTGAAGATCATCACCACCCTGGAAACGGCCCTGGAAACCAGGGCCATAGATGTTCGATTCTCGGTATATGAAAGTCAATGTGTTACCCTGGGTCTTCCTGTACCAGTTTACATAGTAGTTACCAATCGTTCCTCCTTCCATGGAGCACCTGAGGGTGGTAGAGCCTCCTACGAGCACAGTCATTGCTTGGTCTTCAGACACCAACACAACGGCTGGCATTACTCCTGAGAGAAAAGACACAAGAGAGGGGCTCAGTGAGGACTGAGGGCTGCGATCATTGAGTAAGGGGCAACGTCCCTGAGTACCAGGTCCTGGCAGCCTTGATGCCTCTTTGCTGCTGAGTCTTGCGTGGCTGAGGTTCCAGGATCAGCCTTACCTGCACAGAAGAGGGAGAGATGGATGAGGGAGCAGATCTTCTGCATGGCTCACTCAGGGAGAGCTCTGCTTGCCAACTGGCCTTCTGGCTGGTCCCTCCTCTGAGTCAACACTTCCTCTGTGACGCACTCGTGCCTGAGGAAACCAGTTCCTGTCGGCAGCTGTTCCATTCCCCAGAGGTGTCGTGCTGATCACAGGAGGCTCGTGGGGCCTGCTGCTTATTAATGGGATGACAATGCCACCTTCAAGACAGATAATGAGGTGCAGGTAAGTCAGGCCAGCTGGGAGGAGGCTATAGAGGCTTATTTGATTGATTACAAGGTTTCTGCTTCCTGCCCTAGAAGTTAAACTTGATATTGTTGTTCCATTTTCAAAGTAGATATACGTGTTGGACACTCTGTGGCGATGTTAACAGTTAATACTAAGAAGAAGAATTATTGACATTTACAGCTGTAATCAAAAGAACCATCAAACAAGGAGATCAATAGTATGTGCACAGAGACTCTGAGGATGCCGTAATGACTGTTGTGTTCACTGTAAACTCCCTCTAGGCAAAATTGGATAGGGGTGATTCGGCCACGTGTAAAAGAGCAATCCAATGAAACACTGTCTTCCAAATTTGAGCCAGAGTTTCCTGATCTTTATTGAGCTCATCTATCTTCTTTTCTGAAGGGCTATTAGGTCACCTATGTTGAATTACACAAAGCAAAATATTGTAAAAAAAACCTTAGAAACCACCACTATGTCCCAGCGTATGACAGCCTAAATGTATATGCACTTCAAAAGAGGGGAGTGTTTGAATTTGGATTTAAAGGCCAATAATTGACATTTTGAAATCAAACTGGTAAATTAATAGTGGGAACTAGAAAGTGCTGCAGAAGCTGGGAAGAGGGTCATTTGGAAGTAAAAAGGCAAGGGCAAAGGTGGCATCCCATATCTGAGGATGAGTCTGGAGCCTAAATTCCCATATTGGTGGGGAAAAGATTGACCTAAGCTTTTTTGATTTCCCCAGTGTGACTGGGACCAGACTGCCCTGAAAAATTTAGACAGGAGCTGCTCAAGTTTGCTTGGCCCCACGGTGGATGCTCTCCCTACCCACCTCTGCCTCACCTCGCTTTGCCCAACTGCCCATCCCACTCACCACTCCTGGAGGACTGTGAGCAAGCGCTCAAGCCGGTCACATTCCTTGATATTATAAACTGCACGGACAGTACCCACCTGCAGAATGTAATGGTGACCTCGCTCTATAGTTCTTTGAAAGTTGCCAAGGGCAACCTCTTTGGATTTATATACTTGATCTTTTTATATCAGGTTGCCTGGCTTTTGGCATATCCTATAAATCTAGTCATTCTTACTATGTGCCAGACCCTGAGGATTCACTGATAAAAGACTGACAGTCTCTTCTCTCATGGAGCTTGTGTTCTAGCATGAGAGCCAGTCATCACTTAGTAATTTGTATAATTAGTCCCTCCATTGCAGCTGTAATAAGTACTCTGCAGAAGCAGAAGGATTGCTAGAGAATGTTAGAGGGGCCAGCTTCTGGTCAGAGGGCCAGGGAAGGCTTCCCTGAAGAGGAGGTGACTTTGCAGTTGAGACTGAGTCTGTTTGCCCCTCCATGGCCACTCTAGTTCCTACTTTAGGAGGCTGGCCTTACTGGGTAGCATCCACCTGGCTCCCTTGCTCTCTGGCATCCCATTTGGTTTAACCAATGGGAGGCACCCTTGGGAAACTGGAGAGAAGGAGGAGAGTGAGGTGCCGTGTTATTAGCCCAGACCCCTTCATGCCAGGGAGAATTGTCTGGTCAAATCTCCAGGGAGAATTGTCTGGTCACAACCAGAAATTAGGCCACAAATTCCTTGGCCCTGGGGGATATCTGTCCCTTCATGTGACATCTAGAGAGAACTAATTTTTTCTTAGTAACATTGGGGAAGATAACTCATAGGGTTTCTTTGAGAAATAAATGAAATCATACTTACAAACATTTGGCTCATTGCTTAACTATTTGTTAATGCCACAAAAGTAATGATACTTGAGTTAGTAGGAGAGGCAAGAATGGTTTGGGGGGCTTTATCTATTCTCCCCCATAATCTCCATCAGCCTCCCATTCTTTCATGTCTTTTCCAATCTGTGTGTTATGAAAATACAGCCTCAAGGGAAGTTCCTGTGGCATCTTCCAACCAGGTTTCTATCCTCAGCCCTTCATTTGTAGAAATTTATGATTTATAAGTGCTGCCTCACACTTGTTATTTGGTCTATTTGTGTCTCCCATGTAATCCTCCAAAAGCACCTGTTGAACTCATGCTCATCCTCAGAAATGCTCATTGAAGTGACATGATTTCTTCTGCCCACAGGATGTCTGACCTGAAAGCAAGTTGCTGTCCACTACGTATGAGAGTGAAAGAAGAGCAGTAAGGAGCTCATTCCCAAGATCACAGCCACGGGAAGGACCCCAGGTTTTGGGCTGTGGTGCTAAAAACCGGCCTTGTCATGACAGGAACTTCTACTGCCTTCAGCCTTACCAGTCAGAGGAGGGTTAAGAAAGGAACTGCCAGCCCTAATGCACAAACTGCCACAGAAGTGGGAGTGCTTCCTGCTTTTCTATTAGTGTCAGATGGCTGGAGATGGCTGTGAGGCTGATGCAATTAATATTTCATTTCTGGGCCAGGGTGCTGATTGGGAGCACCAGACAAATTAACCAGCAGATTAAACAGTGATAGAGGAAGATGTGTTTACGGGCCTCATTGGGGACAGAAGGAAGAATGAACAATTTGAAGGTGGAGGAAAACTTAGCAAGTCTTCTCATCCATGTTTCAGCCCTCACTTACCATAACTTCAGAAGAAAGTTGCTTTTCCTGTTCTTCAAATGAGTTGTTTGAACTTCACACTCCATTTCTTTGAATTTGCACGGACAGTTGAGGAGTAGGTAGCTGGGTAGCCCTACGTCTGCTCAAACAAGCCTCAAAGAGAATATTACATAGAAGATTGGGGGAAGAGGTCCTGGAACTTGAGGGTCCCCTTTCCTCTCTGCCCACTCAGTTCTCAAGTGGCAGCTGTGCTGCAGTAGAGACCACTGAGTTTAGACTTGGAAGATCTGGGTTTGCATCTAATTCCACCTCTTAACTTGCAAGTCATTTACCTCCCTAGGCCTCAGTTACCTGGACAATAAAATAAGGATAAGACTGTCCCATGTGGTGATTGGCACCTATGAAATTAGGCACATGAGCATACCTTGTAATCTGAGTTAGACCTGCACTGGTGGCCAGATGACCCGTATGGAAGGTAGGAGGGGTGGGCTTCAGCGTGTGTTCCACCTATAGACAGAACAGTGGCACTGTGGATAGGGCAGCACTTATTAGTCCCCTCCTCTCTCACCATGGCTCTGAAAATCTCCAGGGAGAATTGTCTGGTTGAATTCTCAGCTCTACCAAGAAAGGGATGTGGGAGACTAGGGCCATAGAAGTCTCATCAGTATACCAACCAAGGTCAGGGAGCCGACTTGGTTCCTTTTATATTAGTACATAATGTAATTATTCACCTCCTCCCCTGCCATTTGGCTCTGAAATATTTTGCTGCTTCTAAAAGGAACAAATGTGTCAGCTCTTGTTGCTCTAACAAGGTGTCTGGCTTGATTCCTAAAAAAAAAAAAAAAAATCAAGGCAAAAGGAAGATAGAGAAATTGAGGAGTTGTATCACAGTATCAGGCGACAGGGGTACCAGTGTGGGATCCACCTTCCTTTTCAGGCCCATGGAGTCTGCCAGGGGTAATTTCATTAGGGGAGTCATTTATTCATTCCTTCACCCATCTGGCAAGCATCCATTGGCTTCAATAGTGTTTTCAGAGCTGGGCTCTCTGGAGGCTCCCCAGAACCGGGAAGCTGCAGGGCCTGTGGTTCTGAGACTCCAGGGCTGCTCTCACCTGAGCAGCAGGAGGACAGGGGGCAGGCAGGCACATCCCCTGCATGGCTTCCCAGGAGGACTGAAACACTCTGCTCTGGGACTGCCTACTGGCCCTTTCTTGCACATCTCAACCCACTGGCCTGTGTGCTCTTGGGCTTGCCTGCAGACAACAAGAAAATGAACCTAAATCAGCAGACATCCTCTGGCCCACGAACAGCCTTGCTGGTTATGCAGACATTCTGGGTCCTTTTCTTTCTGTTGCAAATGGCAGCATCTTCCTCCTACTGTGAGGCCAAGAGTTTGGCACAGGAGATATTGGTATTTAGCTTCAGACTGCTGTTAATGCTACTTCTTTCCCTCATATTTGTGAATGCTTCTTTAATTTTTTGTTGCAATATATTTATTTTGGATCTTGTTTTTATACACCAAGGCAGCTGCTTCCTAGGAAGAGAGATGTACTTTGCCAAAATGCCAATCTTCCATAAGACAAGAGCCTATAACCGTAGCACAAGATTTTATAGAAAATATTACTGCATTAGAAATAATTTTTAGCAGCAGTTAAGTGCCTACTATAATACTCTGCCCATATCAAGTGCCCTGTAAATGTTGATGCTGGACTAAAGAAAACACGAAACAAAACAAACATAATGGGAAGATGGGGTAAGTGGAGCGGGCAATGAAAATTAAATGAGAAAGAGCGAAGTTAAAGCGTGAAAAAAGGCTTAATGGAGTATTATAGAATTATCTGCTGAAAGGACAAAGTAGAACAAACTAAAAATAAAAAGGGAATATAACAACTTAGATAAGAGGCATGTGAGGCAGAGAAAAGCTGGAGAGGTAATTAGGACAATTACTTCCACGCAGTGGTTCTCAATCTTGGCCCCACATTGGGACCTCCCGGGGAGTTCCAAGGAACACTGAAGCCTGGGTGCCACCCCCACAGAGTCTGGTTTCATTAGTCTGAGGTGGGTTCTGGTTTTAAAAACCTCCCTAGAGAATTTTGATGTGCAGGCGGGGTTGAAAACCACTGTGTAATGAAAAGAAGAATTGTAGGGCAGTAAGGACTTGTTACAGTGTCCCCAGAGGACAAGGCAAAGGTGTCTCCTGTGGCCACGAGGGCTGCTGTGGGGTCAGGGTCCAAGGGGCTTCTGCTCCTGTCCTT